CGTATCTTCTTTTGAGTTATTTAATATAGAAGATGCAGATTACTTTTTTGAGATGGAGAGGGAATCGGTTTGTGATGAAGAGAAGAGAAGATAATAGGGGAGCAGGGGGAGTTGGATGGACACCAGGAAGAGGGGCTGGATGGTGTGCAAATTCTATTTGACGGAAACATGGAATGGAGTATATGTCCTTTAGCAACACGATATTGTGGATTGGATAGATAAGTCTTCTAGTCTGGATCCCGAACTTGAAAGGGGACTATACCTGCTTTCTCAACTCCATATAATTCTATCAACTTATCCAGTAAATCTGCCCCATTTTAGATCCTAACTTCACTAATTAATCCTCCTGCTGATTCTCTTTCCAATGAAGGCAGTTTGATGGATCAACGTTGGTAATGGCATTTTTCCAATTCCTAATAATTATCAAGAACTCTCTGACATCACTGGTGCTTTAACAAAAAAGGTCACAGGAAAAAAGAAACTATTGCCTTTGGTCAACCATGGCAAACTTTCATCTCACGATTCCTAATTCGCATTGGTGGAAAAATCAGGTGAGTATGTGACACTTGAGATCTCTCTGAAGACTTGTATTAGAAGGAAGTATAGGAGTAGATTAAGGATTTAGGGATCATCCTCAAAAATATTTTCTGGTGAACATAAAGAAAAACAGGTAATTCACCATTATAAAGAGTTAGGAAAGAAAAAATACTGAATATTCACTTATCTCTTATAGAAATGAGTATAGAGATATATATACATGTAAAGGATTCATATATGATAACCAACATAAATCACCCTATTAATTATACTAACATATTTGAGAAAATAATCATATTATTATGTATAGAAAATATACTATAATATTTTAACACGCTCTCTCAAGCTGGAATATTGATATTAATCATGCCCATCTTATTTTGAAAATACTCAACTCGTGTTCCATTCAGAGATTTTGTGAATACATCACCAAATTGTTCTCATGTCTTCACATAACCAATAAATATAAAGTTTTCCTAAATCTTCTCTCGGATGAAATGATGATCGATCTCGATATGTTTAGTTCTCTCATGATACACAAGATTTGAGTCAATATGAAGGATAGTTTGATTATCGCACCAGAGTTTCACAAGAGATGTGGGTCTCAAACCAACTTCATCTAAAAAATGATATATTCATAAGACTTCGCATGTGAACTGCACCATAACTCCATATTCAAACTCTATACTTGAGCGAGATACAACTGTTTGCTTCTTATTTTTCTATGATACGAGATTCCCACTAACAAAAACATAATAACCGGTAGTAGACCTCTTATCAATCTTGGATTCAACCCAATCAGCATCTGTAAAACATTCAACGTAAGTATGTCAGTGATTTCTAAACACCATGTCAAGTCTTGGAGCACCTTTTAAGTAGCACAAAATCTATTTCTAAACCTCTCAATGTTTGACTGTAAGTGCATATATAAATTGACTAACAATACTGACAGAATATGCAATATCTGAACGAGTCATAGTGAGATAATTCAATTTCTCAACTAGTAGCCTGTATTTTTCTCGGTCATCAAAGGAATCACCATCACCTTTTGTAAGATGTACATTTAGTACCATTAGTGTATTGCATGCCTTAACGCCCAGCTTTCATGTTTCTACCAATAGATCAAGTACATATTTCTTTGAAATAATAGAATCTCTTCCTTATTTATTGTTACTTCAACCACCAAAAAGTATTTTATGTATTCCAAACCTTTGGTATTAAACTTGGTATGCAAGAATGACTTGAGAGAGGATATTCCTGCATGCTCATTTCCTGTAATCACAATATCATTAACATAAACAATAAAAAATATAATACCAAGTGTTGATTTTCTATAAAAGACTGAATGATCACACTTACTCTTCTTCAATTCGAACTCACAGACTACCTCACTAAACTTGTCAAACCACGTACGGAGACTTTGCTTCATATCATACAAAGATTTTTTCAAAAGACAGACTTTTCTATACCCTCCCCGAGCAAAACATTCAGGTGGTTGCTTCATCTACACTTTTTCTAAAAGATTACCATAAACAAATGCGTTTTTAATGTCCAACTGGTGTAAGGCCCAATATCGGAAGGCTGCAATAGATATGAATAAACGAACATATGCAAATTTGGCCACTAGAGAGAATATATCAAAATAGTCCATCCCATAAGTCTGAGCATAGTCTTTCGCTACCAGTCGAGGTTTAAGTCTCGCCACAGAATCATTTGAATTCACTTTAACTGCAAATACCCATTTGCACCCTACAGTCTTTTTTCCTTTGGGTAAATCTACCAGATCTTAAGTATAATTATCATCAAGAGCATTTATCTCCTCAAGTATGACATTACGGCAAACACAGTGATTCAGAGTCTCCTTAACTGTCTTGCGTATAGAAATTGAATCTATAAAAATAATTAAACCACTAATTGAATGAGACAGATGGTCATATGAGATAAAATTAGCAATGGAATAAGTTGGCGTAGAAATGATTTACTGACATCTACCCTTACGAAAACTAATGGGAAGATCAAAGTCCTGTGAGGCGCAATCAGATGACGACGGATCTAGTGCAGGACATGTATCATTAGTTTGCTATCTTCTGCAATAAACATTAACAATTGGTGGTGGTACTTAAGTCAGAAGCACACGAACACTATCATCAATTTACTCAAGTAGAGCTGAAGACACATCATCTGGAGGAATACTATTATCTGCTACTTAGTAAAGGCACCTGGTGCGAAAGTATAAATAAGTCACTCACCGTCCACCAACTTGTAAACTTGAATGATGAGAAGAAGAACGGTATATTATCTGAAAAAACCACATTAATTGATAATAAATATTTATTGAGATTTGGAGAGTAGCACCTATATATATTATGGAGGTGAGAATATCTCAAAAATACACACTTCAAGGCCTTTGGGTCCAATTTTGTCACACTAACTAACACATCTCAAACATAATAAATGCTACCAAATATCTTACATTGCACGGAAAAAAAACATTTGTTTGGAAAAAAAACTGTAAATAACATCCTCATCAAATATTGTACATAGCATACGATTAATCAAGAAACAAAACGTAGAAAAGGCATCAACCCAAAATTGTTAAGGGACTTGCATTTGGAACAAGAAGGCTCGCGCTATCTCAAGTAAATGTTTGTTTTTTCTCTCAACGACTCCATTTTGATATGGTGTATCAACACACAAAAATTGGTAAAGAATCCCGTGTTGAATCATATAGTTCTGAAATGAATCTGAAATATATTTTTTGACATTATCACTTCTCAATATACGCACAGAAATTATAAATTGTTTCTTGATTTTAGCACGAAAATCACAAAAATAAGAAAATACATCCGAATGATTTTTCATAAAATATATTTAAGTCATTCGAGAAAAATCATTCATAAAAACAACGAAATACTTAAACTCAATTTTGGACGGAACAAGAGAAGGGGCCCCAAATATCAGAATAAATTAACTTAAAAGCACACTCAACTCGTCTATTGACTCTTGAACTTGACGGACTACAGTGATATTTTGCAAACCGACATGACTCACAATCCAATTAGGGTACATCATGAAACTGAGAACATAATTTCATCAACACAAGTAAAGAAGGATGTCCCAATTGACAATGTATTTTAAATGGAGAAATAACATTAGAGCAGGTAACCGATCGAGATACCCAAATATCAAGAATGTAAAGATCATCTGATATATTTTCTTTACCAATAATCTGCTTCGTCATAAGATCTTAAAGAATATAGTGATTAAAAAAAATGTAATACAGCAATTCAAATTTTTAATAAACTTACTCATAAAACTCAAATTGAAAGTAAGTTTAGGTAGAATTAACACATGACAAGATAATAAATGACGTTGGTTTTATGGTCCCCAAACCAACAATGTTATAGGTCGACTCATCATCAATAGTTACAGAAAAATGTGTTTTGTATGATCGAAAACTAGAAAAGATATAAGAATTACTTGTCATGTGATCCGTAACACCATAATCAATCATTCATCTATTCGTTGAGGAGATAAGACGTTTTTTCGCTTATTCAGCGAGAAGAAAATTTATTCAAAAATTCTAAATACTATGTAAATTTAGTATACTCATCAGCTGAAATCATAACAGTTTTCTAAAAAGATGAACTAGCAGTAGTAGCAATAATATTAGTGGTTTATATCATCCAACTGTGATTCTGCAATTTTTTACAGTACCTCTTTATATGCCCTCATTCACAACAATCATAGCAAACAATGTTATCATCCATTTTAACCTCAAGAATTACACACCAAAAACACTGCAAATATATCAAAAAATTTGAGAAACTAGAGTACCTCTTCATGCACGGCTGTCAACAACCCAACCAAAGCCTCACTGCCAACCACCAGAGACTATGTGCTACCGTACGCGTCGCCACCGGAGTTACACGCGCCACTGCCGGAGAGTCACGTACCGCTACCAGAAACCACCTAAGAGCCTCCTTTCGGCCAGAAAACACCACAAAACTTCAATGCATGCTCTAATCTGAAATGACACTCGCAGAAACGCCCCAAATCGCACGAAAGAGGAAAGGATCGCTTGTTGTCGTGTGATCTGCTTCGCCCCATTTCTCTCTTCTCCGGCCTTCCAGTTTCGTGCACAAAACCGGTCGGCCGAGCTCCTTTGTAGCTTCTGTTCTCAAACGAAAAAACTAAAACGCACAGAAACACCCTCCTTCGGCAAGCCCGATGCACACAGCCTCAAACCGCCATCTCCGCTTCTCCCACGTACACCACTGTGCTAGCCACACTCTGAACTAGCTGGAGAACGGTGGTCGACTTCCTCCGGCGCCGAGAATGGGTGGTTTAACCTTCTTTTTGATATGATATAATCTGACCCCTAAAATCCTAACGCTAACCCTATCTCTGATAATATGTAAAGGGTTAAGAAAGAAAACATAATGAAAATTTACTTAGTCTCCTATTGAAATGAGAGTAGCGATATATATACGTGTAGATGGATTCATATATGATAGTCAACATAAATCACCCTATGAAATTACGCTAACATATTTGGAAAGATAATCATAATATTATGTACAAGGAATATTTTATAGTATTCTAATACTCATGAAGATTTTCAATTGGAAAAGAATGAGTTGAAGAGTGTTCTAAAGAGAAAGCAAGTGAAAGTGGTGATTTCTAGAGCTTGTCTTGATACAATTATGTTTCAGAGACAGAAGGATTTCATAAATAGCTTATTGAATAAGAGTGTCCGGGACCCCTAGGTTTGAGAATATGATTATTTGTCCTCTTCTGGGGGGCCTTTGGTGCGATGCTGGTCATTTAGACGAACAAATATGCCACTTGTATAGATGTTCTTGAAAGATTATCTTCTCTGCCGATTCTTCTCACCATTAAAAGCAAAGGATTTTGGTGGTTTACTTGTGTGCATGGTCCTAATGCTTTCATCCAACACAATGAACTTAGAAATCTCTTTTTCCGGAATGCGTAATTTATTCAGTTTATCATCAGCAGTAAAGTGGTTTCATCCTGCATTGATCGCTTCCTTGTTTCTAATTGTTAGGAGATCAATTTCCTTAAATTGGTGCAAGAGATTCTCCCTCATCCCATTGCAATGATTTCCCTATCATTCATGAGTCTTAACATCTAAGTGGGGGTCCTACCACTTTCATTTCGTGAATATGAGGTTGCATCATCCTAACTCTCTCAATAAAGTGAAGAGTGATGGGACAAGGTTGAGCTGGTAGATTGGCACCCATTCCCATTGATGAAAAAACTACAATCTTAAGAGGTAAACTCAAGGCGCAAAATAAATAGATCTTCATTGATGCAAGTATGAAGAAGAAAGAGTTGCTAGCATAAATTTCGGTTTTGGGACAAATTGATGGGTAAGAATACCATTTCAAATTATCAATGGACTAGGCTTTCTTGGAAAGTAATGTGTTTGCGGAGATGATCATCAAAGAGGGAATTAGGTGGCAGCAAAATCTAGGATTAAGTTCTGGAGGGGGATGCTAGCTTGAGTCTTTTTACTGGAGTTGCTAATGGCGGGATGCGAAAAAGCTTCATTAATGAGTTAGAGCTTGAAAGTAGTGTCATGGAGGGTGATCCAACCTCAATAGAGAATGAGATCATTGGGCTTTACAAAACGAGATTTGATGAACTAGTTGGAGAGACTTTTTATAAAAAATGATGTAAAAAGGGTTGTGTGGGCTCTAGGTACTAATAAGGCTCTTGGCTTTAATAGCTTTCTATAGTTTCTTTCCAGCTAATTGGCCCTATATAAATTGTCACTTAATGAAAGTGTATTAGGAATTTTGTCCTTATGCTATTATGAATTCTGCCTTCATTACCATGGTACCTAAGAAGGATATATCTAAGAAGATCCAACTTTCTCCTTATTAGTTTAGCGTTTAATATGTACAAGATCATTACTAAAGGACTATCCTTGAGATAGTGCCTAGTGTTGAATGAGATGATCTCCTCTAATTAGAGTATTTTTATGGAGGTAGACAAATTCTTGATGCTTCTTTTATTGCCAATGAAGTTGTGGAGGATATTTGGAAATCTAAGAAAAAAGCGGTGGTCTTTAGTCAATCCTACATCAATTATGGAAGTAGCTCTTAGTAGAAGTCCTTTTGAGGTGAAACATTATAAGCTTTGAAGGATATTACTTAAAGCTTTTCAGTTCATGAGCATCTCGACTAGGCGAACTCCAAGCAAAATGATTTTGCTCACACCCCATATTAATTGCAAAAAGTGCATGAAAATAGGAGGTAATATATCCTCAAACCAAATTGAGCTCCTGAGAAGTAGATCATATCATCAGTGGGGATGGAAAATTAGTGGCAGATACAGTTATAGAAAGCATATCCGAGCTCCCTTTTGTTGGGTAATCTCAATAAATTTTGTATCACTTATTTGGGACATGCATAGGAGCTAAATCTACTAGCAATTGGTTAGTATAAACAACTATGGTTGCATGCAGAATTAAAAAACTAAATGACAGAAAGTTTGATTTCAAAGATCAATTTTTAATCAATGAGGCAAAGAACTCAATTTCAATTTCTTCCTGCAAATCAACACCCTTGTGTCCTCATATTTATAAAAGGAGTTAATTGTCAAAATATTGAGAGAGAGGTTACCAGAACTTACCTCATATCCCGATGAATCAAGCTTAAAACTAGTCGGAAGGTCAGATCTGAAAACACCACTTTCAAGGCATTCCACATGCCCACCTATATATGTCTCACTCTCAAGAGGGTGACTTTTGTAAAACCCTTCCGGATCAGATTGGTGTTTGTTAGGGCAGATAATATTTCCCCTGTATGCCTGTAGGAAATGTAAAAACTAACTTGAAACTTTTGCATGACAAAGAACTGCAAATGCTTCAAGATATGTCGGAAAAAATCACCTGGACCATAAGAAGCATTTCACAAAGTGTCCCACTACCTTTCCGCAAAACCTCGTCAGGACACATAGGAATTATCGTGGCAAGTGAAAAAATGAAGGGATGAACATATGTCATATACAAGTAATAAGTGGCAACAGCATCAGAAACGGAGTAAGAGGCCATCATCTGTCATCATTTCCAACAACAAATACAGAGAATCAGAAACTTTTAAAAAAAAATATAAAGTTCAACGTGTATAACTAAGGGAATACAAATTAATAAGGGAGAACAGAATTAGATAAGGGAGAAAAAATTAATAGCCTCTTGAGACATGGCTAAAAAATTAGATACTTAGACATTAAGACATATATGATGAAAAGACATAAGTAGGAATTTGAGTTCCTAAAAAATATCTCATAAATAACCAAAAATAATTCTGGAAAAAGAAAACCTTTATGCTTCTTATTCATTGTACAAATATGTTGTATCATCATTTGTTTGGGCTCTAGACTAGCATCCAAGAGCAAAAGCAAAGCTCAAGACTACAAACCTTTCTTGTGCTTATTCAGCCGATAGTTAGGTCAAAATGTTATTCAGCAGATAGTTAGATCAAAATGTTACAATATGGATAATAAAATTAGACTCTTCATATAAGCTTAAGTTTTTTGAGTAATTAATAACACAACTAGATTATTCAACATAATATCAAAACACTTAGGTTCAAATCCTGAGAATCTCATTCTCTCCCATCATTCAACCATCTTTCCTGCCCATAATCAGGCCCTCATGCAAAGCACATAGGTTAACGTGTAATTTCACATCCACTTGAGTTCATTTCAAGTGCTAAGTTCAGTATTCCACTTGCAAGTAAGACAACACAGAAATAAACCATAAATTGTTCTGTTTCCTGTCAGATTAAAGTTCTGATATAACTAGTCACCCAACTAAATCTTGTCAAAATGCACACATGATATTGTGTTATGTTCACACTTATACTAATTTTTGTCTTATGAATTCGATTTCACAACTAGAGGTCAACAGGTTCGGCTATAGATCATATTTTCTCATTACTATTCACACTTGTACTTTAAATCCATAAGCAATAATAACAAGTAGGTTCCTCAAGATTTTAAAAGGTACATTTTCCAAACATGCAGGCATAGGCATACAACCAGTAATTGGACACATCGTTTTTTCCATACCTCACCACAATATCTCTTCTTGCACGCTAGACTAGCTAATAGCATATGTTTATTTCACACTTACCGAAGCTTTTAAACATACATAGAATAGGCACATGAGAAGTTACTGTATACAACATTTTCCCCATTTCTCACTAGAATATCTCTAGTTCCAAACTAGACCAGCTAATAGGAGATATCTTTCATGTTTACCTGAGGCTTTTCCTTTGCAAACCGAACCATATCCTCTGGATTTACCTCCAATGGATCATAACCCAACTTTGCCTTTGTAACAGCCTGATAAAACATGAAGATCAACTAAATAAATAAAGTTTCCTGTTAAAGAATAACACATAAGGATGCTGTCATGGCCAAATGAAGAATTTCCTTTCCGTTCCTTGTTATTCGCTCAACAACAAAATCCTAATGCTCTTGACAGCACTGATGCGAAGACTTGTAAACAAGGATAAGTGCATTAAACATAAAGTGCCAAGTATCTAGATGTGAAAAAAAAAAAAAAGAAGTAAAGCATTGCACCTTCAGGCCATGGCTTCCCTGGGGAAGATAGCTATCACGTTTGACCCAAGCAAAACAATCCAAATGGCAAGCAAATTTAGCTCGACATTCTCCTTGATTCTTGTCGCATCGAAATCCAACCTCCTTAAATAATGAAGACAAAAGAAGACAAAAAACCAAAATAAATTCAATACTAATGCACTAGGAACTGAAAAACTGTCAACCTTTTTAAATCAGCAGTTCCCTTACAAACTCAAGTTTGCACCAGTGTCCAGATGAAGAAAAAGCTGGGAACCTATACTGACTGCCATTTTATTATATAAAGACAGACAAGGAGGGGAAATAACACAGAAACTTAAAAGCTGCACATTACCTAACTCGAGAAACTCCAAAAAAAAAGAAGAAAAAGACAAAGTTTGTCCCAAGAAGAAAGGGATACGTGCAGCTACAGAAGAATACTATAGAAAAGCCATAAGGACCAGGCACTTTGTCCAACACCTAGATCCCGAAATACCCTTAATCTCTTCCTCCTTGAAAGCCTTCTCTAACCATCTAACATCAGCTTCTTCATAGTGGCTAGATCCTAACCTCTCAAGAAAAGACTAATGGGTATTTTACTCATAATAGAAGCAGGATCCTTACAACCCTATCATCTTCAATTTCTAGCTACTTAATAAAAATCTTATGTCTTCTACCATTTAACCATCCTATGGAAGAAGTCAGCATCACTGTCCACAACCTTAGCACATTTTATACTAGATTTTTACCTCAACCAGTTTATCTCCTTTTGAAGTACTTCCTCAAATCTCATTGCCGCAAAGAGTTTAATCTAACAAACTGGTGCTTAATAAGACCATTCTTAGAAACCAACCTATTTAACAGGCTCATCTTATCAAGGAGATTTTGTTTCCTAATCCTTATGTCCGTAAACACCTGATTCCAAAGCTTCAAATTTTCTTCACTAACTTTAAGTTTACTCATGAATTTATATCCTTTGCAGCCCTCTTCGGAGAACTCATCCCACTTGTCTTTTCCGTTACAAAGGTAACTAGATTTTGTATCTACATGTTTACAGAGCAAGAGAATGAGACCACACTATAGAGGGGTTTATAAGAAAATTTTGACTTACTGCAGAAATAGAAAATTAAGATTTATTTGGGCGCAACCTATCATATTAATAATTGTCTTTTAAGTTGCACTACATCAAGTTCAGCAGTTAGACACTGGAATGTTTTGATTTTAAAGTTCCACAATCAACTACATATTTCCTTCAAAATAAAACATCTAAACATATATAGAAAATAAATAAGCAATCACTGACATAAATTATGGTCGAAACTAAGAAATTATTTTAGCATAAAAAGTTTTCATAGAGCGGCATCAAACAATGCCACCAAATTATTTAAATGAGTGTCAGATAAAAGATCTGTAGCAACCAAGAAAACAACTGAGCTTGACACAATCTAGAGATGGTCTCCATAGCAGAAAGTTCTAGACGAATCTACTCCTTCTCATCCCAATAGCCACTTCATGGGTTATCTGGAAAGAAACGAATTAGAAGAATTTTTTAGGCTACTTGTCTCCTTTTGATAGCATTGAAGATTGGTTGTATTAAGACCTTATCTATTTGTTTAAAGGTCATCCTCTCCTTGAGAACCTGAGAACCTTATTGATATTTTGACTTCCAACTGTACAGTTTGCCTTGGTACATGTGGTTGGCACCCTTTGGGTATAAGATTTCCTTTTATCTCGAGAAAAAAAAAACGAAATAAAATAACTAGATGCCTTGTTTGTGTTGACAGCAACCAGTGAAGCAGAAAGGGAAATGAAAAAAAAAACAAAACAAAAGCACCAGATTCACACATAGTGAAACAAAAATGCACTAAGATCATGCTAGTAACATAAAAACTTCTGTCATTTAAAACAATCTAGTTTTTGTAACCAAATGCACCAAATGAACTAGCTACATACATTGCTCATTGTAAACCCATGATAAGCTGCTCTTCGTTCAAGAAAGGGCCAATCAAAATAATCACCATTATAAGTCACATAAATACCAGGCTTCACCTCTCGCATATGTGCAAACCACTGCATGAGAAGTTCTAACTGCAAGACACCAAAACATACAGTAAGCAACCATTTCCATCAGCGACCCTAAAACAATCCTTCACTGAATCAAACCTGTGATTTTTCATACCTCACTTTTCACATTTTTCACTTTGAAGCATCCTTCAAATTCTGGTTTTGGTGTATACTCCAGGTCTTCTATATCTTCACCTACACACTGATGACAATTGCAAAATGAATTTCATATTGCAAGCAATAGTTCATGAGCAGCAGAATCTGGAATGCAATCAACAGTCAGAAAACTCAAACACAATTCAAAACAAACAAAGATAAAAATATTTTTCATTCCAAATATCCTGCTTGTAGGAACCTTAAGTACCATAAGTTTAAACAATTATATGATTGACTGGCATTTTGAACATTAACAATTTAATATCAAGGGTTTAATAGATAGAAAGGAAAATGAAATGGCGGGAGAGAGCATGGAGGAAAAATGAATCAGCCTAACCGATTTGATCAAAAAAAAGAAGGAATTGCAGCACTTGTTACAGACAAGCATCACATGCACAAAGGTAATATTTGATAGCAAGAAAAACTCTGCAGCACCTTAAAATTAAATATTGATCCATGATAAGAAATTTTCCCTTCTGAAGAGAATAAGTCCAACTATGTCTCCTAGAAACTTGTAAATTCTCAAATCAGACAGATGGCACAGGCCAGGATCTGAAAGAGAAATCAAGAAATTATAGCACAAGCAAGAACCTAGTCTCACCTCTCTGTTAATGATCAAGTATCCTTGCCCATCAACCATGTATGATATCATCATTATTATATCATACTCAGCATCTGGAAATTTCAGAGGAAGCTTTGTTGTCTCTATATCAAATGCACAAATATGAACTTCAGCGCGTTGAAGAAGATCAGCCCGTTTCTCAAGCAAAACACCAGTACTAGATATGCTAACGTTGTACCATTGCCCACAGCGCACATCTGAGTAGCACAAATTCTTAGTGTCAAGAAAAGTAAAAGCAAGTTCATATTAAATCGTACCATAGAAACGTTAAGATCTTACAGAATGTTCCATGATCAACAGAATGGATATAGAACTTACCATTGTCAATTGCAAATCGAACATGGTAAGGAACGTCATATTCACGGAGATCCACAATAAAATCTAAAAAATCTTGAAGCCTTTGTTCCCTATGAATCAAGTACCAGAGAGAATCAAGAACAGAAAGAGGGCTGCCCCTCCCATGCCATGAAAAGGGGTAAATAACATATATCCTTACCGTCTTTCGGCTAATACTGATTCATATGCTTCTGCAGCAGCAAATTTTGCATGGTTTCTTTCAATAATATGCAATAGATCTCTCTTCACATCCATCAAATGTTGAACAGTGTCGAACGATATCTTTAGGTAGTTTTTACACAGGCCAGACAAATGATTCCTCTGCATTAGAGCATATGGAACAATCAAACTTGATTATTACATTGCACGAAGCTAAATTAAATCAAAGTATCAACAACCACATCAATAAAAAATGTGACAAGCAATTTAGAAAAAAAGAAAATGCTTCTATTCATGTTTAGTAGTTACTCATTACTTAACCATCATGACATACCACCAACACGGCAGTCTAAAAGTTACGACTCTTGTTCATTGTTAGAAGGTTTTGAGTTCGAATTTTACTAAAAATATAAAATTCGCTACTTTATAGATGTGTTGTGGATTGCAGTGGCTTACTTATAAAGCTTAATTCAATATGCCCAAAGCTTAACTATCAATGTGTTGATGGAGCTGCAATGATCATATTATGTATTGTCCCATCAAATTATGACATATCTAGACGAAACAAATATTTCATAACAGCTAAAATTTCGTTAAAAAAGACAGTTACAACCAATTAAAAAACTCAATCTAATCTTTTACACATAATAACTAGTTTGCCTGTCTACCCTTAATCAAAAAGTTTAGAAGTAAGAATTAAGAAGATATCTATAGTTATAAATGTTGAGTAATAAAAGAATTCGCCATAGTGTAATATCACACAAAAGAAGACAACTGAAAGCTCATTTAGAATTCTCCTTATTTTGCTTTTCTACATGCAAAAAAGAATGATAGTTAAACTACAAGATGAGAGCATGGGTAAGCTAAGGCAAAACCCGAAGGTTCAAGTTACTCGCAAGAAGCAGACTACCCGCGAGCTAGCAAATTCTCGTGAGATTGCTTGTGGCCTACACGCACAAGAAGGTGCCGCGCACACACTAGCCCCCGTGCGCATGCAGCAAGACAGTTGTGCAGTGCGCACGCAACTGCCTGCCGATAAGAGCCTGTGCCAGCGGGAGGGGGATTTTCCCCATGGGGTGGAAGCAGCTTGCTTCCACAAGGATTCCCACGAGTCCTCCATAAAGAGGGCTTTGCTTGCAGGCCCAGGTTCTTCTCCACTGGCTGAAGGCCAAGATCCAACCAAGAAGACCCGAGGGAACCGGAGATTAAAAGCAAGAATCCAAGGCCCTTAGTCTTGATTCCAATATATCAGCCCAAGATTCCCAAGAAAACCCAAACCGAGAGCCCAAGAAAAAACTTAGGGAGGCCCGACCTTTGGAAGCCCAAGAGAAGTCCAAGATAGGTCCTAAAACCCAAGGGGACCCGCAACATGCTCTGCAGACCAGGCATGTACCACCCGCACATGTAGCCACACAAATAAGGCCAAGAAGAAGCCCACCCGCGCGAGACTTCTTCTCCCATGAGGATTCCTTCCTCATCCAAATCCTTCTCTTTTTTTAGCCGAGTTTAAGAGTTCTTTTTGGACTTGGGGTACGGCAAGGATGAGATAAGAAAAAAGAGTCCAAGAATAACCCGAAAAAGACTCCTACAGCATGAAAAAGTCCATGGGAAAGCAGTCCCGCAGCTTGAGAATCCCGCCCGCACAAAGACTCCAACTCGCCAAGACTTCTTATAATTTTTCGCATGTTTCTTGTTTTTCTTGATTTATTTTCAAATGGATTTCCTTCATAAAAGAATTCTACATGGAAAGAGAGAGAGAGAGAGAGAGAGAGAGAGAGAGAGAGAGAGACAGACAGAGAGTTAAACATCAAATCTTCAGGATAAAGTCACATAGAGAAATTGCCCCAAGAAACCCAAGACTCCTAGCCGAATTTTCCAATTTCAAAGGAATTTCGATCTTCTTTAAATTGAACTTCTTTAAGAAACTAATTAATTAATGGAAAGACAAATCAAGAAAATAAAGACTACTCAAACCCGAGAAGGACTCCAAGTTCGGCCACGACAGGAAAAGGGCTATCTCATTTAATTTCTAGTTCTTTTAATTATTATTTTAATTAAGTTTTATATTAAGATGTTTTAAGTATTTGATTTATATTATAGAGTTTGTTTTCGTTTAGAATTAGTCCGGAAAAAGTCCATATAAAAGATTTACCACTAAGTTGTAAATACAATTCAATTTTCATAACAATAAAATTTTAGTTCGTTGCTAATTGCGAGAAAGTGTCCATTCAAGAGAGGTTTCTTCAATCGTCTTGTTGAGTTAAAGAATCGAATCAACTTATCGGGTAAGTCGTAACGTCTTTTCTATTCTAATTTTATTTCTCAGTTACCTTGATTTGCATTCACATGATGAATATGGTTCAAGTAGAAAATATTTAATTAAGGATTTAAAATTTCTGAATATCAATGTTTTATGCGGAGTTTTCGATTGCACTGTTGATCCTAAATTCTGCATCACTACAGATCTTTTTAGAGGAAAAGAAAGAGAACAATTTAAAGAAGGCACCTCAATCAAAATATCAACAGGATTGCTTAAATCTTCATCAGTATCAAGATAATGACCATTAAAGCAATCATTAACCTAAACATATGTCGAGAGCCAAGAGTCTTCAATTGTGCCCAAAGAAAAAAACAAAATCCTTACAAGTCCTACCAATACTCAATAATAAATAATCTCAGGCAATTTGGGTTGTCGGAAATACAATAATTACAAATATTCGTAAATCTTATTTCACAATTAATAAAATTTCAAAATTACAAAAATTACATTATAGATACACTTTTTAATACTAAACACATTTCACCTTAGCTTGTTTGCATTATGCACCAACCTTATTTCAAAATTGATAGATTTATGCATCATTACTGACTTGAAAGTAGGTTTGAGATATTGCATTCAAGATCTTCCTAGCAATATTCAACACCTCAAGCAATCTAGGTTGTATGGAATTGACAAGTCATGACATAACAAAAGAGTTTCAGAATTCCCATTATTGTAGATAAGATCAACGTTTTGTTGCTTTCAACTTGATCCCATTAACATAACCTTGCAAATCTAAGTCTCAGATGTGGAGTAGCCATGACCTTGACCAAACAAGGTAACAGCTCCATCTAGCTTCACAAGACTGATTTACAAGAATATTCTTAACAATCAAGTCAATCTTGTCCTTGTTAGCCAATTTTTTTTCGTTAGCCATGCTTGAATCCTTGCTAGTTTACTAATTAATCAACAAATGGGCAGTCCATGAAATCTACAATTTCACATACTTCCATGTTGTAACTCATCAAGCAATAAACAATCTAGCTCCTTTAGGCCACAATATTTTTTTTTCCGATAAACTTTAGGCCAAAATAGTTCCAACACCATGTTAGCAGTAGGTGCCAAGGAGAAAATGAGAAACTTCTTATTCAATCTCTCTTGCAAATTAAAGCTTATATAGCATATTTACATATTTTTTAATTTTTCCACGGTGATCAATAGTAACTGTGAAAATTGCAGGGACATATGTGATGCAATAGTTCGAGGTCCACATCTCACGAAAGTCCATGGAAAGTCATCTCCCAAGTCCTTCCATTGTAGTTACCCTTAACCTGTTTGAGAATGGGAGATAGCTCCGGAGTGTTGTTTTAGGAGGATAACTAGATTGGAAATCATTCCTTGGCCAGCCAATTTCCTTGATTATGTAACTTATCTTCTCACCACCAATGCCCATATATCTTGTTTCACCAACTTGACTAAAGGAGCTTTAGCCCGAGACTTTCATTTTAACTACCAACCATCGATAGGGAAACTTATGACCTGATGTAGGAAAAATAAGGTTCACTTTGTCCATTTATAGATTTAGAAATAAAAACCTAGATATTACACCTAAACTATTTTAGACATCACATCTAACAAGTTTTAAACATTACAATTAAGAGTTTGATTGTATCAAACTACCAAAAAAATTAAGAAATTTATGAAATATTTTATTAAACAACTGAATTCTTTCTCAAGAAGTTAAATTACAAAAAAATTGTCGTTCTCCTTATGTAACATTTACTACATAGGATCAAACTAAAAAATACTAAAAAAATAAGATCAAAAATACTAATCCTAACAAGAATAGAAAATATTACTACTTCAAATAGAAAAATCAAATACTAATAAGAATAAAATCCTAAATTTACTAAAACTATAAATAGATTCCTAAATGATATAGCAGCTTCCATTTAATAGAATGATACTTCTAATTTATTTGTAATTTATTTAAGCAATCTATACCTACTCCATTCTGTATCCCGACCTCCTTGCCAAGTTACATGTTTTGGAACCCTTTCATCTCGACCCTCAACCTAATATGTGAATTTTTGGACCTCGAATCATCAAATTTATTTAGTTGTAAGTCCTTTTTGACAACATCACCCGAAACCCCAATTTTTACCAATCCCCCTTTGTGAAAATTTTCATAAAGCTCGAGGGTGGTTAAAAGTAAAGGTGTTTGCATTGACTGCTATTCTTCTAAGGCCCAACACTAACAGCATGTTACAAATTCATAGGTCAAATTACACTTTGTCCCTAGATATCTATCTAACATGTTTTCAAGACCGGGAGACCGAGTCCCATTTATTTCTACATTAACTCATTGATAGGAGACTATGGACACAATTGTTTGGGTTATTTGGTTTACCTTGGGAAACTTACCCCAACCATGGAGTGCTTTCTACACTCATGTGTACACAAGGCATGGATTCGAAAGGAGGTCAAACTCATGTAAATAGAGGCAATTTTTGCACGATTATAGACCTTATGGCTTGAAAAGAATAAGCAAAATCTTTAAAGATTACTTTTTTGCCTAATCAAATCAATAGAAAAAGACCACTTTTTTGGCCACACTATGAGCAAAAGCCCATGGGCGGTTTCAGATATTGCTCTGTGTTACATAGGAATTGGGAGGAAATAAGCTTGCAAAGTTTTGAGATTAGTAGTTTATACTCCTCTATTTGGACATTTTCATTTTGTGTTTCTCTTTTGTTATTTCAAATTCTAATTGAATATTAGAGTAGGATGTCTTATTCTCCATAAATGTACTTTTCATCTTCTTCCTAATTGTACTTCTTTTTCTATTTAAAAAAACACTTCCTTTCATGTAGCAAATGTAGCCATCTGTATTACGAGAGGTGGAGAGACAATGGATCATATTCCAAAAGAAAATCTAATAGATATTAGGAATATCATAAGGTAAAACCTTGTAGAAGAAATAAATGTTACAATTACAAATGACAACAAATAATCTGGTAAAAAAAGGTCTTTTAATAATTACAACAAGTCCTACATCAACAACGTTAGAGAGATAGAATGTTAGCCAGATAAATTTCAGTACCGAATATCATTTTCATGTTTTTAGGATCGACATACTAAAAGTTTTAGTAAAATAAGATAGCATAAATTAGAGTTAAATATATATCAAAAGAAAATAACATGTGATGGAACCTCCAGAGCCAAAAATTTTGAGAGCATTGGAGATATTTCAAATAATTAATCAGGACAAATTCAGAAAAAGAAAATCAGACCAGCAAAGGCACATATATTTTATGATATTCGTAACAAGATTAAATCAACCATTACGCATGTAGTTGACTTTTTAATAAGCACAGTCTTTGCAGTTGCAGTGGAAACTAAAAGCCAAATGAGTCAATGTCACAACTTTTATCAAGGAACACTGTTATCCAATAAGTTCAAAATAGGATTTTGAGCTTTGAAGTGAGGAGATATATACAAAATTATGATTAGAATTAATTAGAACTCACAAGATCAAGGTCCTCCTTTCCAACAATTTCAATATTGGCTATTTGACTTTCATAGCGTCGCCTCAAATATGCTTCCACATCCATTTCCATGTTGCTCTACAAGGTTACATCAGTACCAGATAGTATTCTCATAGTAGATAGTAATTAAAAGAAGTACAGGTATTTGCAAAATTTGGGGAAAAATAGAACTCTACTTTTGTGGCTGCGTAGAAATAAGGGAAGAACTTGTACTTCGACTTGAAAGAAGAACCATCCTGTAAATAAAGCAGAAAATATTTGAAGCTTCCCGGAGGAAATACTTTCTACAACAAGATATTGTCAAATACATTAAACAATGTGCTCTTTTGTACCTAACAACAAGAGCTTGTTTTCATGATAAACCAGAAGCATTACCTGAGTTACAAAATAGAGATCCACGCAACTATAAACTTTGTGGGTGTCGGGGTCCTCCCACGACGACTGCAAATTAGAATTTAAAAATTAATAAAAGACCCTAGTGCCATCAATCTATCAGTCCGAAAATCATTCAAAATTCTAGCCTTAAAACCAAAAATCATATTGACCTCCCTTCTGAGAAGAGCATATTTCACAAAGCAAACTTTAAAACCCAAAACCATCATTCTTCCCTTCCGTTTACTTCTTAACAGAGAAAACGAGACAAGAACTAAACATAAAATAAACTTACAGGTGCAAAAGTGAGCAACCAACCAAGGCGCTTTTCGCCTTCGGAGAAGAGATCGAAGCCAAGCTTCGATTCCAGCTCCTCTTCCGCGTTGCGAATTACATTCTGCTTCCTGGACCTCCGCGAATCCTTACTTTCCCATCTCCGGTTTTCTCCATTCATCTGCTTCGGCTTTTTTTAAGAGGTTCGTTGGCTATGGAGTTGTAATCAGTATTATCAGATCCAAAGCGGAAGGATGTTTTAGAGAGGGAGAAGGAGAGAGGTTTCTTCAGCAAGCCCTGGATACGAAGTGATTGAAAACCAAGTTGGGGGTTGTAGAAAATTTTCCCGCGCATTTGGATACCGCGGAAACGACGCAAATGCCCTTATATTTTCCAGATATCTAAAAGGTAACCGACCCGCTAGAATTTCCTTACTTTAAGACCCTCTATAATATATTTGTATATTTGTGATACTAAGTCGCCGTTTAGGACAACTTTTTGTTTTTGATTTTATAATTTTGAAAGCACTTTTCAATTAAAGATATGAAATGAAAACTAATTTTTAGTAAAATCTAAAATTAAAATATACTTTTAATATGTTTAAGAAGAATTTTTACAATTTAATTTTATAAGATAATTTTGACTTTTAATAAAAAAATTAAACTTCAAAATTTTACTTTCTAGAGTTATATATATCAAATATTAAATAATATTTAATTAAAAATACTTTTAATAAACAATTATTTTAACAATATTTGTAAAAATCACATCATAAGTTACAATCATCTCAAGTGTTCATTAAATTTATTACATATCTTTTCTTTTTTTTTGTCAATAATAATTAAAATTACAAGCTTTTACTTATTATTAGTAAGCATGTCTCTTTTAAATGACATTATTTTGATTTTAGAATTTCCTAAAATTATTTATCCATATCTAATATTTGGTTTTTTTTTTTTTTTTCCTATAGGGGAATTCATCTTCCTCTTTTCTCTTCATCACTTTTTTCTAGCAATTTTCTCTTATTCAAAAGCTCCATCGTCTCTTGGCCTACAAATAGCTAAATACTTTATTCATGGTCTCATCTTGTTTGTATATTCATCCCTAAATCATGTTGTTCGTTATTCCCTCTTATATTGTCTTTACTATATTTTTTTAATCATGAGCTTTAACTTATTGAACGAACAATATGTAGTATATGGACTTTTTTCTTTTGTAATTAAAAAAAATAATAAATTGTAAAATTAGTGATTAGATTTCTTGTGATTTATTAAGGAACCCTTTTACATAAGTTAACATCTCCAAAAGTGTGTGTATCATCTCAATAATGCAACCTATTATGCATCTTAAATGTTTTCTCAAGTTATGATTCATATTTGTGTATAAAATTTTTTGAAGTAATTTATAATATATTCTCAAAAAACTTGAGAAGATTTTGATAGATTTTGTTACGGAGAATGTTGATTCCTCTTCAACTCATATTTCTCAAACCTAAACTAAAATTTAGTAAAATTTAATTGTCCTTTTTTGTTATGATGATACCAATTAATAGAGTATGTTATTTTTGAAAACGTAAAGCTTATGCTTAGACACATGTAATTGTATCATTTATGGTTATGATCACTAAAGTGTTTACCGTAAAAGTTTCTTATGGATGGTGAGCAAGTTTTCGCACCACTAGGCACATTTTTTATGATATATATTTGTTCAAGAACCATGGTTATTTTAAAGTTGAAAGACAACTTATACTTAATAACGTTCATAATGTCAACACTTTGGATGTTGGATATGTCAAACACAAATTTACAATTGGCCACATTTAGTGGAGTGGTTTTGTGTTTACTGTTGTTTATCTCATTACCATAATTCATTCTTCAGTCTTAAAAGACAAAACACTTTTTGAAGCCCTGCATAGGAGGGAAGTAGATATGATCACCTAAAGGTATTTGATTGTCTAGCATTTGTTTCTTTGTCTAGGAACATACAGGTGGATGCACTAAAAAACAAGTATTCCTATATAAGATTACACAGGAGATCAAATAATAAATGAGAAGAACCCAAACCTTAAGAACTTGGGAATTCCACACAAACATAAGAGGTAAGTAGCATTCAGGAAATGGATGATGTAACTGATACAGTAAATAATAAAGAAATTCCAAGGAGAAAATCAATCAAGATAAAACAAACCACCAGAATATTTAAAAGATTATGTATGTGATCAAATCCAATGCGGTACTAGTTGCATACAACAACCTAACCCATAAGCTCACAACAATGGTGTGGTTTCCTTATCAAGCACCATTGGATATGTCAGACTTATAAGCGACACAAGAAATATATATTAGTTGTGGCATCCTATGCTGAACCAAACTCATATAAAAAAGCTAGTAAAAATTAAATTAGAGAAAAACAATGCAAAATGAGCTCCAGGCACTCGAGGAAAACAAAACCTAAAAAGTGGTAAATTTATCTGTAAGAAATAGAGATATTCGTTGCAAGTGGGCCTAAAGGGTAAAGTTCAAGATAGGTGGTACCATTGAGAGGCAAAAAGTCATACTAGTTGCTACAAGCTTCACTCAAAGAGAAGGTTTAGATTACCACAAGACTTTCTCTTTTATGGCCAAAATAGTTTTTGAAATGACATTGATGGTTTTACCTGCAATTAAAGGATGTCATCTTCAGTAGTTCGATGTCAACATCACATTCTTATATGGAGATTTAAATAAAGAGGTGTACATGGGCTTTTGAATAGGCATATAAAAAAGGGGAGAAAGGAAGATATGTAGACTACTAAAGAACTTGTATGGGCTCAAGTAAGCATTCAGACAATGATAAATTAAGTCTTATAAGTTTACCATTGAATAAAAGTTCAAGTAGTCCAATACTGATTACAGTTTATTCGTAAAGGTTAATGGTAAGAGTTCTATAATGTTGTCTGCCTTTGTTAATGATATCATTATGGCATGTAATGAATAAGAGATGATCAAGAAATTAAAGGTAGTACTATAAAATAAGCTTAAAATTAAATATTTATGAAATTTAAAATATTTTATTGTAACTGAAGTTGGTAAGTCAAGGGGATGAGTTCATATATGTCAGAGAAAGTACACCTTAGACCTTTTGAAAGATGCATGGTGTAAAAGCCTGGGACATAAAAAGAAATAATGTTATAAATTAAGTGCATAAGCGAAATACTAGAGTTTAAGATTTACATTTCATACACAATAATTTAAAATGCTCAATAGAACTACGAAAATAACCATTCTAAAAGAACAAACAAAAATCAAGAAAATAAATAAAATATGCTGAGCATTCTAGGATGATCTTCACTAGTTTTTGAAGGGTGTATGGGTGATGAACTATTCATAACCCTCTTGATCGGGATCTGTGCCTTGGTCCTCTTGATTTGAAATAGTTAATGAAAGAGTGAACTACACTAACCCAGTAAAAATATCACACTACTCACCAACTACAGAAATTGAAGGTTGGAAAAAATCATAAAAAAAAACTAATATTAACTCTTGATTTAAGTAAATTCATTTATCATAAGAAAAATCATTTATTGCATAAATTTGCAGTTGCGAGATTTCTAAAATCGACCTATAGAGACAATAACTCAAATAACATTCCAATATCATTTTTAAGTGAGATATAACAATAACTTTTCCTTTTTATTTGTATACTGGTATCCTTGGGAGCCCATAGAGATGTCCCACTATGCATGAACCAATATCCAATATTGTCAATTAATCGGCCATCTTCATACACCGTTTGGTATGAGCATTAAAATATCACCCTCAATACCCCATCCTGCATAAGAGGAAATCGGGTTGTCCTCATACCCCGTCCGGTATGAGCACAAAAAAAACCATTCATCGATACCTCATCTGATATATGGCAACATTCACGGCAGAATTTTCTATGTACCCAATCCGTTCACCATCTTTCAGGATATACAGTAAGACTATCATTCATTAATTCACATGACAAAATAATTTTCTAATTGCATATTACTTAACAATTTCACAAATCAACCGTAAATTATGCAAGACAAACAATATATATATCCATAAAGTACGACTGAATCATTCAACCATTCTGGTATATTTTCATGTATTTAAAACTGTAAGTTCAACAATCAGTTAAATAAGACAAATAAATAACTAACGGATTCCGCTTCCATTGGTAACCTGCAATTATTTCCAAAATTTTCTAAATTATAAAAAATACTATATTATCGATAATTAAAATTCAATTTTGTAATAGAGAATAAAGTGAGGGATTCTTACCTAAATCGGTGTCCAAAATACCAAACTTTCTACTGTGTCAACTGGTGGTCTCCGAATTTTCTAAATTTTCATGCGAAGATTAAAACACGCTTCATATACTTAAAAATATATAAAAAATCCAAAATCGATTTAAAATTTTTTTTTGACGATTTTTAAAATTCTGGCACTGCAGCACCGTCATGCTCCTGCGACAACACTACCGTCCGCGGCGTCGATTTTCCTCGGTATGGCCGTTTTTGGCAAGTTTTAGCTGATTTCAGTCGGTTTTATACCAATCTCTGCAAAAAAACATGTTATGGTGCCTCGGTTAGCCCAAAAAAGTAAAAAAAATGAAATTTACCTGCGATGAAATTTTTTTGTGCGGTGGCTCCACCGGCTCACCTCGCGGCTGAGTGATTTTTTTGCTCAATCTGTAAAAAATATGACAATGAACAAAATGGTGAAAAAATTGGACAAAACGGGACACGATAAGGGGCTCATCGGAGGCTTTTATGGGTTTTGCCCACAGTTTCTAGCACATCCGCCATTCCATTTTCTCCAATTTAGCTATGAGGGTACTTGGAATCAAATTTCGAGCATATAAGAGAATTTTTACCTCTTCTGATGATCAGAGGTGGCTCCGACACCGCAGCGAACGGTTGTCAGCCCCATTCTCTAGCAACTGGTTCTTCTTCTCTGGCGGAGGCTAGTTGTTAGGGTTTGGGTTCGATGTCATGCAAAATATTTATACCCTTATCGCGTAAATCTGGACTGTTCATCACGTTTGATCTCAATTGTTCAATTGCGTTTAAATAGAAAATGAATCTGGTCCATTCATCACAATTTGATCTCGACCGTCCGATCACATTTAAATAAAAAATGAATCTGAGTTGTTTATCGCGTTTAATCGCAACTGTTCGATTGCATCTATGGAGGGAACGGATCCGGATCATCCACGCACGTGAGAACGCTTTTGGACCATCGGATCACGGGGCATGCAGATCGCTAACGTGGCCTCCCCGTGGCACT